CTCATGAACATAGATGCCAAAATCCTCAATAAAATCCTAGCAAATAGAATACAGCAAATCATCAAGAAGATCATACACCATGACCAGGAAGGATTCATCCAAGAGATGAAAGGATGGTTCAATATTCAAAAACTCTATAAATGTAATATTCTATATCAATAGAGCAAAAACTAACAACCACTTGATCATCTCTGTTGATGCAGAAAAGGCTTTTGACAAAGTCCAACACTCACTCATGTTCAAAGTCCTACAGAAAATTGGAATAGATGGCCTCTACTTCAATCTTGTAAAAGCCATTATGAAAACCCAATGGCTAACATAATCTTAAATGGGGAAAAACTGAAATCTTTTACTCTTAGATCTGGTACAAGATAAGGATGTCCTCTATCACAACTCATATTCAATATAGTTCTGGAATCATTAGCTACAGCCATTAGACAAGAGAAAGAAATAAAAGGAATAAGAATAGGTAAAGAAGAAGTTAAATTATTCTTACTTGCAGGGCCATGATACTTTACTTGGAAGACCGAAAAAACTCAACCAAGAAGCTACTAGAATTAGTACAGAAATTTGATGTCATAGCAGATTATAAAGTCAACACCCAAAAGTCAATACATTCCTCTACACAGAGAAGAAACCCACTGAGAGGGAAATTACAGAAACAATACCTTTTACAATAGCACCAAGGAAAATGAAATACTTCGGAATTAATCTAACTAAAGAAGTCAAAGATCTTTTCAAGGAAAATTACAGTACTCTGAAAAAAGAGATCATAGAGGATTTCAGAAAATGGAAAGATATTCCATGCTCCTGGATAGGAAGAACCAACATTGTGAAGATGGCCATACTTCCAAATTTGCTGTGCAGATTTAATGCTATCCCTATCAGACTACAAGTGACACACCTCACAGAGCTAGAAAAATCATTTCTAAAATTTATCTGGAACCAGAAAAGACCTAGAAGTGCAAAGGCAATACTGGGTACTAACGACAAGGCAGGAGGCATTACAATTTCTGACTTGAAATTATAATACAAGGCAACTGTGATCAAATCAGCATGGTAGTGGCAACAAAATAGACTTGAGGATCAATCGAATAGATTGGAAGACGCTGAAGCACGTACGAAAACACCGAGCCACCTAATCTTTGACAAAGTGTCCAAACATACCCACTGAAAGAAAGATAGCCTCTTTAACAAATGGTGCTGGAAAAACTGGCTCTCTACATGCCGAAAACTGAAACTTGACCCAGGTATATCACCATGTACTAAACTAAAGACAAAATGGATTAAAGATCTAAACATTTAAGCAGAGACACCAAATCTCTTGGAAGAGAAAGTAGGAGGAGCTCTTGAAGACATAGGGGTAAGAGAAGACTTCATGAACAGAAATCAAATCGCACGGGAAAGGGTTGAAAGAATTAACAACTGGGACCTACTCTTACTGAGTTTTTTTCACATCAAAAGAAATTTCCAACAAAGTGAAGAGGCAACCCAAAAATTTGGAAAACATCATGACAAATAAGTACTGAGAGAAAAGTCTGCTTTCTAGAATTTATAAAGAACTAAAAAGAATAGGACCCCACAATTTAAAAACCCAATCCAGTAAATGGACATCGGAGATGAACACACGCTTCTCAGAGGAAGAAATTTAAGAAGCAAACAAATATATGAAAAAATGCTCCACATCACTGGATATCCATGAAATGCAAATTAAAACATCATTGAGATATCATCTCACCCCAGAAAGAATGGCTATCATAAAGAAATCACCCAACATCAAATGTTGGAGAGGCTGAGTGGAAAAAGGAACGCTACTCCAGTGCTGGAGGGAATGTAGACTGCTGCAACCGATATGGAAATCAGTATGCAGACTCCTTTATAAATTTGCAGTGGACAACTCATTTAAACCAGCTATCCCTGTACTGGAAATTTTCCCAGAGGATCTGAAAACATCATATCATAGGGATATATGTGTGCCTATGTTTATAGCAGCACAATTTGTGATAGCCAAATCTTGGAAACAACCAAGATGACCATCACCTGAGGAATGGTTGAAAAAGATGTGGTATTTTTACACAATGGAGTATTATTCAGCTATTAAGAATTGTAAACTTGAAGCCTTTATATTGAAGTGGATGCCACTTGAACATATACTCATAAGTGGAAAAAACCAGACACAGATATGTGAATATAGTGTAGGTGCCCTAGTATAAGAACTCAAAAGAAGAAATGCAAATAGAAAGATATAATACAAGTAAAAGGAAAGCAGAAATTTTTTTTTAATCTAGCAGTTAATTGGAAAGATGCTCACGCTGACTAAATATATATACTGATACTTGTGAACTTAGCAGCTGCACTGAAGATGGTAATCTGTAATAGTAGTTTCATGCTTGGAGTGCCTGTCATTCTGGTCTTCTGAATATGGGCTGCTTGTCATGACATGCCAGTGGCTGCTATGAAGTTTCTTGGGTAGATGGTTGTTCAAAAAGAAGGGGGTGGTGAGGGAAAGCAAGAGACAGGAAAAGAAATATTGTGGGACTCTCCTCCTTCATTGTTGTATATGGTGAGATTTTTGGACTTATGTGTAAACATAAGAAGCATATAATTCTTTATGCCTATTTTTAAAGTATATTCTAATTTTTAGACGTTTTTTATCATATTCTGTAGGGATTTCAAGTTCAACACTCAATACTTGATGAAAAATACCTGTTCCACATTATGCCTAAGATGTTTGATATACAAACAGATAGTGAGGTTAAGGTTAACAGTCTAGGTTGTATGGTAATAACAATAAGCTTGTCTTCTGGATGGATACCAACCTAAGTTTTCAGACCAAAATTAGATGAAAAGGAGGGCTGCAAGGAAAGCCAACATTTTGGCCCTACTCTTCCAAGGTGAATTAAGACTCAGGACATATGAGAACTTGTACTGTAACGTCATGTAACTCAGCAGTGTCCCAAATTTTCTGATCAAGGAGATTATGGGGCCAATGAGGAAAGTGATCAATGATGTAGAGTGTGCCTAAGGAGAGTTACATGGAGAGAAAACATTCTTTTAGTCTTTCACAGAGCGCACATTGGACAAGCAATGGCTGTGACTCATCCACATGGCTGACACTGACAAACAATCTGAGGTACAGGATCTCAGGATAAATCCTGAGGAGATTTCACTGACCTTATCAGACCCAAAAGCTACAAGTCTTGTTGCATAGGTCCTGCCCTGCTTTACCTTGGTCTTAACCATGCAGCAGAAAAGTATAAAAATGAAATATAAGAAGGAAAGCCATGCTGTTATGTTGAGTTGTATGCGACTCATGTCAACAATTTCTGACTTTGCCAGTTAAGCGGAAGACCCAGTATTATTATGGACTACTAAACTCTTTTAGAATATTTTGCTGAGTTAATACACCTATAATATTAAAATAACGGAACTTAACAAAAAATGGGTATACAAGTGCATTTCCATTTTGTATCTGTGTAATCAAAGTTGTTAGGATGGATATGTAGTTACATTCTCTTAAAGAATAGAATGAGTGTTCTAATGGTGTTTGTAAATAAGATATCAAGTCCACATCTTGTATAACAATTAACCACTTGGAGGCATGTATGCAATATTTTAATTATTGAAACTGTCCTCCCAATTTGATGGGAAACTGTCTCATTGGTATTTGTTTATCAATAAAATTATGGAAAAAAATAAATAAATCCACTAATAAAAAAGAACTGAAAACAGAAAAAAAATACTAAATACTGCCTGTGTGGAAGTACATTTTATATTTAGTTCACTACTATTTCCCAATATTATTAATAAAAATTATGAAACAATGCACGCTTGAGAAGTATGGGTTTGAATGATATATTGAATGAAGAATAAAAAATGACTTGCTTCTAGAAAAAAAAAGTAGGAAAAGTTTATTTTAACTCAGTTTGTAGAGGTTTCAGTCCATACTCTAGGCATCTCGCTTACACAGTGCCAGGTCTCAGGCACAAGTGAGTGACCCTGGCTCAGCCTGTTGTATGCCCTTCTTCAAGACACACATGTAAATTAAGCCACATACCTGCAACATAAATTTCCATCACCAGCTAGGCTGCTGTGCATTCTTCATCCAGCATTCAGCATGCAGGCAATATGGACCCTTGTGTGCCTGATGGCTGCTCCCCTGGGTAGGTTCCTGGGGTCTCTAGACGTTGTGGGGAATGGGAGTGGCAAGGGAAGGACTCACCATGAATCCCTTTTCCTCAGGTGTGCTGTCTGATCAGACACTTCAGGAGTCAGGACCACATCTACTGAAGACTGGGGAGACCCTGTCCCTCACCTGCACTGTCACAGAAGGTCATATAACAACTAGCTATGCTTGGACCTGGATTCGCCACCCTTCTGGGAAAGTTCTACAGTGGATGGGGTACTGGATCGGCAGCTCATACTACAACAAAGCTTTCCAGGGCCGCATGACAATCATTGTCGATGCAGTCCAGAACCAGTTCTCCTTGCAGCTGAAGTCCTTGACCGAGGAGGACACAGCAGTGTATTACTGTGCAAGACACAGTGAGAGAACATCATTGTGAGCCCAGACAAAAACCTCCCTGCAGGTCTACTCTTGACCAGTAGGGGGAGATCATGACCATCAAACTGAGATACCAGAAAATTTGATAGGTATGAATAACATAACAATTGTTAAATTTCTGTTTTAGTTTTGATATTTTACTTTGTATTATTTTATATTAATTTGTTCTATCTTTGTTCTTTTTTGTTTTTGATTTTGTTCTTTCTCTTGAAAGGAAAAAGGAAAGAAAAGAAAATGGAAGGGAAGAAAAGAAGCAAATAAAAGAAACAAATAGAATACAGCTAGGTACTGTGAATCTGGTTATGCTCCCTGCTCAAGCCATCCCTCTATGTCAACCTCCATTCCTGCAAGTCTGTGTCTTGCGTATTTACAGGAATCGCTCCTCACCTTTACTACTCTTATTGCCTATGGCTACCTCTTTGATTTCACTGAAAAACTTATTTCTCCTTCCCAACCTACCAGCTCAGCTCAATATTCATGTATGAAAGTCCTCTCTTTGTGTCTCTATGTAGAAATCTAAGAAATGCCCCACATTTGCATGTATGCTAATAGACCACTGCCACCAGCCTTCTTCTCTATCTGACCCTCTTCCTGACCTGTGCTGTAATACCCTCAGCCACTTACTGAGGCCATTCCCTGACATCTCTTTCATTCCCACATGCACATACATAGTAGGAACTCCTGTAGTGGGTTCCAACTCGGAGATACATTCACAGGTAACTGCTTTTCAGTGCCCTTGAAGTGCCATTGGCCTAAGGGAAAGATGTTTGCTGAGCTGGTAACTCCTGAGAACTGTATGCAGATACCATTTCCATAACTTTTCAAGCTTCTAGGAGTGTCCTGTCTCCCTTATTACATGTTCTATTCCTCTATATTCAAAGTGCGTCACTACAGTCCCTGCTCCTAGAATTACCTCACACTTTCCTCTGGCTTTGACCCTCCTTCCTCACACCCCTCTCAGGAGACTTCAGGTTACACTGAGGTTGCTCAGTTATCCCACAATCATGTGTTCCTGTCAAGATCTGTGATTTATCCATGTCCACTGTATCCCGGTCTCCATGGTTTTTTTTTCAATTTTATTTACTTATTTTTTCAAAATTTTATTGATAAACAGATAGCAATGAGACAGTTTCAAATCAAATTGGAAATAGAGATTCAACAAATAACACACTGTGTATATTCTTCTTAGTTGTTAATTGCTGTGGAAGATGTGGACTTGAGATTCTATTTACAAACACCATTAGAACAAATCATTCTATTCATTAAGAGAATGCAACTATACATCTATCCTAACAACTTTGAATACACAGATACAAAATGGACATTCATCTGTATACCCCTTTTTTTCTAAGTTCCATTACTGAATATTATAGGTGTGTAAACTCAGCAAAATATTCTAAAAGAGTCCAGTAGCCCATAATAGCATTGGGTCTTCTGTTTAACTGGCAATGTCAGAAATTATTGACTTGAGTCCCCCACAGCTCAACATAACAGCATGACTTGACTTCCTATATTTCATCTTCATACTTTTCTACTGGATGGTTAAGACCAAGGTAAAGCAGGACCTGTGCAACAAGAGTTGTAGCTTTTGGGTCTGAGAAGGTCAGTTAAATCACCTCAGGATTTATCGTGAGATCCTGTACCTCAGATTGTAGAACCTTTGTCAGTGTCAGCCATGTGGATGAGTCATGGCCATTGCTTGGCCAATGTGCTCTCTGTGAAAGGCTGAGAGAGTGTTTTCTCTCCATGTGACTCTCCTTAGGCACACTCTACGCCATTGATCACTTTCCTCTTTGACCCCATAATCTTCTTGCTCAGAAAATTTGGGACACTACTGAGGTACGTGACATTACAGCACAAGTTCTCATATGTCCTGAGTCTTAATTGACCTTAGAAGGTTCGGGCCAAAAAGTTGGCTTTCCTTGTAGCCCTCCTTTTTCTCTAATTTTGGTCTGCAAACTTAGGTTGTTACCCATCCAGAAGACAAGCTTATTGTTATTATCAAATAATTTAGGCTATTAAGCTTAACCTCACTATTTCACTGCATTTCAAACATCTTAGGCATAAGGAACAGGTATTTTTCATCAAGTATTGATATGTTGAACTTTAAGTCCCTACAGAATATGATAAAAAACATTTCCAAATATAAAGAATTATATACTTCTTATGTTTGCACAGAAATTCATAAATCTCACCATATACAACCTTGAAGCAGGACAGTTCCACAATATTCCTTTTCCTGTCTCTTGCTTTCATTCACCACCCCCTTCTTCTTGAACATCCACCTACCCTAGAGCCGGTCTCCATGATTGAGTCACAGAGTGACAGGCACTGGTGATGAGTTCGTGGAAATCATGAGGATCACTACGAGTGTGGGCTGTGTAGTGCTACTCTGCCCAAAAAAGCAAAAAAACTCTGAAAATGTATCTAATATTATTTATTCACTCCTGGATGTCTAGAATCGTGTGATTCCTTCATCATGAGAATGCGCATTTCAGCAACTGTAATTATAATGTACGTTTTTGTCAGTTTTCACATCAGAAAATTCTTCCTTATCAAAATCCTATCTTTAGTTGTTACTTCTTTTTTACCTCTGCATTGTTCATCCATTCTACAATGTTTGAAAATTCAGAAATACTTTACTGGTTCGCTTTACATGTTTACTTTCCCCCCTTGGTATCCAAGCTGCCTACAGTGCCGGCTTCCCTTGCTTAGCCCATGGTTTTTATTGCAATGGTCGCTATGGGTGGGGTGGTAGTTGTGCAGCAGCATCACATGGAGGGTGCCTTAATCCTGTCTAGTAGGATCCCAGGCTTCTCACAGCATCCCTCACAGGTAACATTATTTGGCATCAGTGCTCCACAGAGAAGGTTAAATTCTTTTTCCACTTTATGAGTAGCAGAGTGTGAAGGTTTTATCTTCTACCTTGTATAGCATTTTACTTTTTCAGTAATTCCCATCCTGCTTCATGTGTGAAGCCAAATTAGAACCTCTCTACTCTTGTGAGCATGGATGTTAATGTAGCATTTTAATCAGCTCAGTTGGACCATTTTGCTCTGCAGGCTTGTACAAAAACACCGTGTTATACACAACAATTGTGATTGTATTTTCCATTAAAAATTGGGGCCATAGAGATAGCTCAGCAGTCTAAGCACCTGCCTGACTAGGGGAAGGACCAGGTTTGATCCTGGCCATTGCATGCTGAGTGAGCTGCACAGTGAGACACTGTACAAAAGACATAAATTTAACCACATGCCAGGCCGGCCTCATGCCTTCACTTGCTGAGTCAGCCTCAGAGACTGAGTATGGAGGTGCACAACTGCAGTCACAGCCCTGGAGCTGCTGAGAACAGAATGATCAGTATGAGTGTGAGCTGCATCATGAGACCCTGTACCAAATACATATAAAAAAGAAATGCTTTAACTTTCTTGATAAACCCATCATTAAAGTCCATTTTTTATAGACCTGGCTCTTCTCATCCTTTCTGGGTTAAGCACACCACAAGAAGGTCCTCTTTGCCAAAGATTTTACTCTGAATTTAAATGTTCTCATTGATTCTTTTTCTATGCCTGCCACATTCCATTCTCTTTTGGTGTTTTAGTGTATGGATTTCAGGAGCAGAAAAGTCACTAGGAAGGTCCTACACTGGAAACACAAGTATCATGTTTTCTCACTCTTCTAGAAAAAAATTGAAATCAATATAAAAGGCATAGATTTAGGGACATCTACAAGAGTGTCAAGACTAATTGCTGACATGTCTATGAAGAGCTCCAGGCTGATCATAATAACTCAGAAAATATAAAATAATTGTTATTAATTTTGTATTTATTTCTCATTCAAAATACAAAATATTTGAGCTTATTTAGTATAAAGGAGAAAGGTTACTTTCGTGTGGCTGAGTATGTATTTTGACAGTTATTGTTTTCATGTAGCTGGACACGTCTCATTAAGATTTTCATCACTTTGAGTGAGCGGCTGAACTCATAAATAGCTTCTCGCACCACAAAACACATTTGTGAAGTGTTACACGTAATTGTGGGGAAAATAAATCTTGCTAATAACCCTAAATTCAAAACATTATTCATCCACACTAAAGAATGAAATAAGAGAATTGCTACAGCATTTGCAATACTATGACAAATCTGGGTGTGGTGTTGCTCCCCTGTAATCCCAGCACTGGGGAGGCAGAAAACAGGAGGATCATTAGGAGTAGGAGCTGCATAGCCTGACC